TATTATATATATTATATATATTATATATATTAAATTTATTAAATATTTATTATGTTTATTTTACTTATTGTATTTATTAAATTTATTATTTTTATTATATTTATTTTATTTATTATATTTTTTTAATTTATTATATTTATTTTATTATATTTATTATATTATATTATAGTAAAATAATTTATTATATTTATGTTCCCGGAGCACAATTTCTTAACTGTAGCCTGACTTAGGAGATCGTGCTCTTCGTGCTCTTCGTGCTACACGACGGTCCATGCCCATCTCTAATCTAGATCTTAGTAGGTGTAATAGTCGAATATTTTATTATATTTATATTCCTGGAGCACGTTCCCTTAACTGTAGCCTGACTTTAGAGATCGTGCTCCTCGTGCTGTTGACGTTTGCACGCACGAAAAAAACACGATCGATGGCCATCTCTAATGTGGATCTTAGGTAGCGCAGCTCATCTTACAATCTCTGCGGCACATTTGACGAGCGTGTGAAACGAGCACCTTGTGCTGAAAACACTTTTCCTAGCCGATACTCATCTTGGCCAGCTTGACCGAGCTGCTGCTGCTGCTCCTCGAGGCTTTTAGCTGCGGATTAGATGCCTGCACTCTATATTAGGCCTGTTCAAGCCGGCGGCCTGATTGCAGCTGATAGCTGATGCCAGAGATTGATCTTGAGTTGGCTTTAATTGAAACGTTTCTCTCCCTCTCTCCCTCTCTCTCTCTCACTCTCCCTCTTCTTCCCTCTTAATTAACATAATTGCTTCTGGTTTTGCTTTTCATTCCACATTTGACACTTAAGCGGCTCAATGGCCGACTCTTGGTTTATCTTTTGTTTGGCTGTTGTGCGACCTGTACAGTGTGCCCTCTGCTTACACGCCACATAATGCTCGCTGCTCGTCGGTACAGTCGCATTTAATGAATTGCCTTTCATTCGTGTGCAGCTACTTAATTTACCTAATTACCTAACGCCAACGCCATTAGGCCCAAAAGCGAGCCCAGTTTTGATCTGACGATAAGGCACGCCACAGACAAGTATATATATCTATATACAACTGTATATATATATATATGTATATGGATGACACATGCGACTGTCTGTTGGAGCTGGAAATGGAGGACTAGAAGAACCAAGCCCGCATTCTGAGCACAATGCGTCATTATGCTCTGGCAAAGGGCATATTAAAATTGTAAGGAAGTTTGGCACGTATTGGAGAAGACATTAGATAGAAATACAGGCAGAGATATAGACAGAGATATAGACACAGATATAGACAGAGATATAGACAGAGATATAGACAGAGATATAGACAGAGATATAGACAGAGATATAGACAGAGATATAGTTAGATATAGATAGATATAGATGGATATAGATAGATATAGATAGATATAGATAGATACAGATAGATATAGCTGTAGATATTGATATATACATTAATATAGACATCACTCAATGGATTCAGAAATCCTGCAAAGATACCAGCCTATGACCCCAAGAACTATTACAGGTGTGCTGCTTGATATATGTACATATAAGCAACTATGATATACATAAAGACCTAAACATGAACTTTGTCAGAGGTGAAATAAGAGCTGTTAGTTATATAAATAGGATATACAATCACAAAAATAACTTGGCTCTGAATCTTTTAGACAATAGTAAGGGTACACGACGTTTAAAAAGATTACACGATCTGGATCTTCCACATATGGTCATAATTTAAGTTAAACAAGAAATAATGTAATATATATTGTTTGAACTCATTGAAGATAAAACAATTCTGTTGGGTTTCATTATACTTTACTTTGTTTATTGTCCCAAGACAGAGTTTAAATAAAAATCAAATAAAAAAAAAGAATACGATGAATTGCATAGAATAGAACGTTCGAAAATTGGCTCTTGTATAATAAAGTGATTTAGGTAGATATAGTTAAAGATATATATATAATATCTATTCTAAATACAAGTCCGGACTTTTTGAGAATCGATTTTGACAGCTGCAAATTAATATTAACAGCAGCAAAAGCAGCGCAGAGATAAAACTGTGCAAATCCAGCTAAAATGTCTGAGAATCGAACCAACAAAAGAGAGGTCGCCGGTTCAAATTTAGCAGCAATTGTATAATTTATGTTTTGCTCATCATATTTGTTACTGTTAACAAAAGAAAAGGCAAAAATTTTAATTTAAAACATAGCTCTACCTGATATTAACGCGAAGCTATACGTAAGGGTATTTAGTGCTCTGCCAATTGAGTTTATTTATTTTCCGTCTTGTTTAGTTTGTTTTCTCAATTAGCCACGCTGTTGGCCAGTTGGCATAACTTATGCTTATTTTGGCCCAAACAGCAGCAGCTCCTTAGCTTTTGCCTAGCACACCCCTCCCTCCCTCTCTTTATCTCTCTCCCTCTCTCACTCTCCCTCTGTCGCCTGTCATTCTGATTAGTTATGCTGATGACATTGTTTGTTCTGCACATGTCACTGCCCCGCCCCCCCTTAGCCCACGCTCTTTTGTGGGCGCAGGCCATAATTCATTTGGCCAATTTGAATGAGCCTCAACTCGTTGTGCAACTGCGACTTGGACTGGGAGCACGACTTGGCCAGCCCCTGTGCTGGCTTCATAATTAATAAAGCGCAACAAATGGCCAAAACTCACACACACACACACACACCCGCACACACACACACACCTACAAAATGTAACTCTAATGAGAGGCGTGGCACACATCTTACACACAACAAAAGCGAAAGGGGCGGACTTCATTTTCCAAAGTTTAATTGGCAACTAGCGGGGATTTTTTTTTGGCAAATTGGAATTTTGTTACAGCGAATCGATTGAACTTTAGACGTAATGCAGCTGCCATATAATAATGTCAGTTACATCAGCTTTGCAGCTAGATTGATGAACATATCAAATTACATGATGTACATAAGATCTATTTACGTATCTCTTCCAGTCTATGTCTATATCCTTATCTATTTCTATATGCCTATACATCTATACATCTATAAATCTATATATCTATCTATAAATCTATATATCAATCTATATATCTATATATCCATATACATATATATCTAAATATCTATACTAGCTGGCATTGCCCGGCCTTGTCCGTGGAATCTTTTGTGCTTGAAATTTTAGATATTACCTTTCCAGTAAGTACACGCTCGTGGAAAATTAAAATCTATCCATTTTGATCTGCACTTCTATTTAAAAATATTTTTTGAGTGCATTGAATAAAGTACTTAGTGTTGGAATCAACGGTTACCGCCCATTTTAGCTTTGCGGTTCATAATTCTCTTGAAGCTGAAGAATAAACTTTCGTTTGACCCGCATTTGCCACCAAAGAATCAAATAAGTTGTCACAAATGAGTTTGGAAAATGAATTTGAAATCCATCGAACGGTAAACAAAAAAGTTTCACACAAACGTTATTCGCGATTTTTCCACAAATTGCGGGTGGAATTGCCCGAGACTCCGTCTAAACGAAAATTTCAGCTTCCTAGCTCTTACGGTTTGGGCTTTGCGTTGATCACCAATCAGTCAGTCAATCAGTCAGTCAGTCAGTCAGTCAATCAGTCAGTTAATCAGTCAGTCAATCAGTCAGTCAATCAGTCAGTCAATCAGTCAGTCAGTCAGTCAGTCAGTCAGTCAGTCAGTCAATCAGTCAGTCAATCAGTCAGTCTATCAGTCAATCAGTCAGTCAATCAGTCAGTCAGTCAGTCAGTCAATCAGTCAGTCAGTCAGTCAGTTAATCAGTCAGTCAGTCATTCAGTCAATAAATCAGTAAGTCAGTCAATCAGTCAGTCAATCAGTTAATCAGTCAGTCAATCAGTCAGTCAATAAGTCAGTCAGGACAAACAGTTTTATATATAGAGATATATCTATTTATCTACATATCTATATGTATATCTCTACATCTCTATCTATATCTTGAGTTCTTTTGGTCTGTTTGAATATTATTACGTGACCTTCCATGCAATTTCCTACTATATACAAATGTTATTCTACCCAAATGATAATGCGCGTGCTTCCCTTGGCCTGCAGCTCGACTCGGGACTAGGGAAGGGCGTGTCGGACCGGTCTAGATAAATGAACTTGACAATAAACACATCACAAGGGTGTCAAAATGGCTCTGGGTTAAGCGCAGCCCCAACAAAAATAAACAGAATAACCGCAAAAACAACCCCTTGCGATCGAGTTCTTTGTGCTTGGCCCTTGTGACTGCACAGGGATCGAGGCGCATCTCAATTTGTTAATTGTTCTTCATGTTTAACAACAATTCAAGTTGTTGTCGTTGTTGTTGTTGTTGTTGTTGTTGTTGCAGGGGGTTAAAAGGCGACGCGGCCAGCTGCTGCCATTGCCCCGAGAGACTCGGCGAGCATTTCCTACCGCCATTTCCGCTGCTATTTTCAGCTCAATTCAGGCCATGTCTGCCTGCACAAATTTATGTGCATCAATGAACGATACAAAAATTTGGATAAATAAACAAAGCTTAATATGGTTTCCGTCGGGAGTAAAATCAATCAGCGTGCGTATTACCTTTAAACATGCTAACAAAACAAATGCCGGCAATCAAAACCGAATCAAAACCGAATCAAAACCGAATCAAATGCCAATCGAAGCGCTTAAGAAAACAAGAACAACAACAAGAACAACAACAAAGGAATCGGGCCATAAAAACTTGACGATCGTGCAACATCAAGCGTTTTGTCCATATAAATATAAAACAAAGAGATTCTACAAATTCCACACACTCTTCTTTTTATTAGCCAAACGAATTCCATTCGATTGTTGGCCGAAATTGTTTTTAACTAGTGCGCGGATTGTCTGGAAAGTGGCCCGAAAGGAAAGCTGGAAAACTTAATAGAGGCACCAGTTTTTTTATGGCGGCACTTTCAGTTTAAATATCAGATATTTCGAACCTTTTTTTTTGACAGTTCCTCAGTTCGTAGCGTTATTTATGGCATTTTGTTGGCACATCTATTTCAGATCCGGCGACTCTGAACATCTTTGCCACGAGATCGAATCCAAAGAAGAAGCGCAAATCGCGCACCGCATTTACGAATCAACAGATCTTTGAGCTGGAGAAACGATTTCTCTATCAGAAATATCTGTCGCCAGCGGATCGCGATGAGATTGCCGCCGGTTTGGGTCTATCCAATGCGCAGGTGAGTATTAAATGCAATCAGTTTCAAATACACTCAGAGAAAATATTAGAGAGAAGATGAAAATTCTGTGTGCTGAGAGGAAAATTCTTCATATTTGAAAAACATTTTCAATCTGCGAAGTGTTGAGCAATGAATTAAGAAGTTAGTTAGAGGAGAATTTAATTTCTGAGAACTGAAAAGAAAATTCCTTTTTTGGAATATTTTCAAGTCGAAATTGAGTAACAAATCACAAATTTGGTCAAAAAAGATTTGAATTTCTTAAACTGAGAGGAAAATTTTCCATTTTGGCCTATTTTCAATCTGCGATGTGTTGAGAAACGCATCAAAAACTTTCTCAGAAAAGATTTCAGTTTCTTAAGCTGAAAAAAAAAGTTCTTTACTTGGAATATTTCAAGTCGAAAGAGTTAAGAAATTTGGTCAGAAAAGATTGCAATTTCTTCAGTTAAAAAGAAAATTCCCTATTTTGGAATGTTATTTTGGAAACGAATCAAGAACTTTTTCAGAGAAGATTAAAATTTCTAAACTGCAAAAAAAAGTTGTTAATTTTGTATTATTTTCAAGTCAAAAGAATTGAGAAACAAATCCTGAATTTGGTCAGACAATATTGAAATTTCTTAACTTAAGAAGAATAATTCTTCATATTTTCAAACTGCGATGTGTTGAGAAAGAAATCAGATAGAAATATTTTAAGCTGAGAAGAAAATTCTTAGCTTAAGACAATATTTTTGGAAATTAAATTTCTTTAAAAAAAATCTCTTAAATAATTAATTATTAAATACAAGACTCAAATGCTGAGTACTTTTTTTATGCTTATTTCAAGCACGCAAATTTTTGTTTTAAATATTTTGCGCTCAATTTAAGCGCATTTTGCCTATTTCAATAGTTAAGTATTAAAAGAAAGATTAATTTTCAAAGAGACATTTTAGATTGATCAACAGTAAATCAATTTCTCTGAGTGTAGACGAGTTGTGGTTTTTTTATTGGAACTTTTTGACCTTTCTGATCCAACCACAGGTCATCACGTGGTTCCAGAATCGACGCGCCAAGCTGAAGCGCGACATGGAGGAGCTGAAGAAGGACGTGCAGAGCGTGAAACAATTGTCAGCGAACAAAAGCTTTTTAGAGAATGTTAATGACTTGAGTATTTTAAAGACCCGACCAGTCAGCAGATCGCACGCGATGCCGGCCATCGCACCACCCGAGCAGTAGCCACCATCATAGCCACCATCACCAGGGACCGAGCGGGTCGAGTCGGGACAAGGAGGAGCTGCGCATGCTCAAGATGATGACCCTGATGCGCTACTCGGACGGCAAGCTGCTCTACCCCGCACCCCCGACGGAGACGGCCAGCAACAACAACAACAACAACAACAACAATTCGCATTAACTCAAGATTAGTCCAATTTGTAAATTGCTAAACTGAAAAAACGCGCGACTTCTAATTTGCCAAAAAAAAAATAGAAGAAAGAAGAAAAGAAAAGCGAATGCAAACATTTTCTTTTAATCATTTTCCTAATTGTAGAGTATTCAATTTCGTATTAGTTGCTTGTGATTCGTGTCTAAAATAGCTGTAATACTTATGCACGTTCGTGATTGAAGAGTGTTTACTGTGCTAGCCGAATGTGGAGTATGTAGAGTATGTGGAGTATGTCACGGTTCATATTTTAAGTTTTTGCAATCTAAAATAAATCTTAGCATTTAGATTCGTATCGAAACACCGACTTTTAGCTGCTCTCTCTCCCTCTCTCTCTTAATAGACTACAGTGTTACCTCAATACAAGGGCAAGGCAGACTGTTCGAATTACGAAGCCCTGCTGTTGCCATATAAATATGCTGCTGTATGACACGCTGCTGCCATACCGAAAGTAAGCTCTAGTCTGCCGCTGCCATATAAAAGAGCAACGCAGGCCAGCTATTGTCATATAAAAGTTAAGCTCTGACCTGGCGCTGTCATACAGAAATTGACTCTAGTCTGTTGCTGTCATATAAAAACAAAACAATCATATGCTGTTGCCATATAAATATTAGGATCTGGCCTTGTTTTATATGCCATATCAACATTGGGCTGGACTGAATAGTTTCTGTTATACAACAATTAATGTATTGGCTACTGGTGCCATATACAAATTTAACTCTGACCTGCTGGTATATGACATGCCGCTGACATACCAAAATAAACTCTCGTCTGTTGTCATATAAAAACTTCTGTTGCCACATAAATATCTACTCGGGCTTGCTGTTATATGCCATGATGCTGTCATATAATAGGAAATATTCATAAGTAGCGGCATAGCTGTCATACAGATATTAAACTATGGCCTCCGTGCTGCTGTTGCCATATAAATATGACAGCATTAAACTCAAGCTCCGTCAAATTGCTACCATATAAAAATAAAATTCTGATCTACTGTTGCCATATAAATGTTAAGATCTGACATAGTGTAATATGTCCGGCTGTTGCCATATATAAGAAAACACTGGCCAGCATAGCTGTCATACAGAACATCGAAACTTTGATCTGTTGCTGTCATATATGGCATGATCTGGTTGGGTGCTGTTGCCACATAAGGAAAAACTCTGATCTGCTGTTTGCATATAAATATTAAACACTGTCCTGCTGCTGCCATACAAAAAATAAAGTCATATTACATGTATGACATGACGCTGGCATACAATGCTTTTGCACTGCTTATATTTTAAAAGCAATCAAGCAGTGAACTCGAAAAGTGGTTGGCGTCCTAGCTAAACACTAGTTCCATTGAACACTGACCAAAAATACTGGTATGTGCCTCCGCTCACAACTGGTTCACAAAGCAGGGACCACACCTTGAACTGCTTGCGCCAAGCAGTACCTACAACAACTGCTTGACAGCAACTAGTAAAGTTACAGGTCAAATAATGCGTCACCCTAGACGCACACCGCACTCAAACTTTAACTTGCAATGCACAGCCTGGACTCAAACCAAAGGCTTATGCTCTAATGACGTTTATGTTTTCATATTAAATATGAAGCTATCTTTAAATTGTATTTAAAATAAAATATAAATATAAAATATACAGCTAAATATTTGATTTTAAATGTTGAGTGTTGTGTTTCATAAGGCAGTTAAATTATAGAATTTCGCTGATTCCCCTTTAGCTCAACTGTAAACAGCATTGGGCACGGGCCCTGCAGGCCCATAAAAATAGATCTCAATCGGAGAAGTCGGCAAATCGCGCATAAAATCGTAAAAACTGCAAACTGAGTGCAAATTATGAAGACGTAAATATGAAATTGGCAAATTTGCGAAATGAGCTATGAGAAATGATTTGTTTTCATTGCCTGTTGATCTGAGGCACAAATCAAAATGCGAATGATGTCGATTTTATTGACAAGTGAAAATAAATAGATCCACCTAGAAACAACAAAGCGCAACGAAACGGAATCACAAACGATTTTGAGGGCAAAGTTCCCAGTCAAATGGATTATCAAAAGGTCAAAGAACTATCCAAGATCAGCGTTAATGGGCTCAAAGTCGCACTTGAGCTGAGTGCGGCGCACTTTTCCCAGGCCTTTCGGGGCACAGAGATACGCGCCTCGTAATGACACAATTAAGTCAAATTAGGGCCCCAGCCTAGAGACAGCTCCCACTCCCAGCCGACACTTACAAGTGGCTGCTTTCAGCAGAAATCAATTCAATTATGTGGCTAACACACACACACACACACACACAGCTCCCACAGGGATTTGAGACTCAATCCTTGCAACATCCTGTTGCACAAATACAATACAAGCCGATTAATTCCACACGAGCGACTTTGAAGAGTTGCCGGTGATTAGCACTCGCGGACATTTACATAGAAGGGGAAGGAAACGGGGGCAGGGGAAGGGGTACGGGCAGGGGCACGGGCTGTGGATGGGGCAACATAGCGACCACCCACATGGCCTGGTTCCGTCTGCCCTGCCTTGCGCTTTTATTGCTCACAAAGTAGCATAAACAATTTGCGCTTCTAATGGAGGTAGGAGAGGGAGTGGAGAGGGAGGGGAAGGGGGAGGCATCGGCGACCCACAAAGTCAACGCCGCCGCAACACCTGATGGGGCTGCAGAGAACGAACGATGTGGCAGCCGGGACTAAGTCGGGGAACTAACCAACTCGACTGGAGAGTGCATTAAATGCGCCTCGTGTCGTGCCGGTTGCGGTTGCCTCCGCGCGGCATTGTTTGTTGATGCTCTGCGCTTTGCTTGTTTGAAATATGGTTTTGATTGGAGCTATTTGTCGTTCCGTTCCCAAATATGTTCAATTGAAGGAGTCAATGTCGGCCGAGAACTGGTTCAGTTAGTTCATATTATTCATGAGCTAAGCAAAGACTCGGAGAGTGTCTTCGAAAAATTCCTTCATATCGTGTCAAAATAAAAATAAAAAAAGCCAAAGTCGAAGACCATATGGAAAAGTCCCTGTTAACGATTATTAAAGCTTGTTTACATGGAAAAATCAATGATTCTTTCAAGATTTGCTACCATTTGATGGAAAACTCAAATTAATCTAGACAAATAATTTAAATGATCCAGCTTGGACTTCGACTTACAAGTCGAGTTTAACTAGCCTGTCATGTTTAACTTAGATATGAGGATTGTTTTCTTATATCGACTCGCCAGTTGATACTGAACAAGAACATTTATGCTTAATAGGATCGGCGACTTCTTCTCAAATGTGTTACATATTTCATACGAATATAATTATACCCACCACAAGGTTATAATTACGGTAAATAAATATATACAAATATGCATAGTAATACAAACGCAGGCTTACCCATTCACGAAAAGCTTTAAATTACTCTCGCGCTCTCGCTCTCTCTCCTCTCTTTCGCTGCATGCGGATTATGCTAAATTGCGCGCCAATTGGTGCTCAGTGAAAAATTGGCATCAGGAATTAAACACTTATTTTATGGTTAAATGCAATGGCGGCGGGCAACAGATTAATCTTTGACAATTTACACACACTTACACATCACAAACTAATCACACTTAACAAAATTTCGTTAATTAAAATATGTTACAACACGACTTTAATCACACGCGTAGACAAAGCGACCGATAAACAGGCGAGACGCGCATAAACTAATTCGCCTCATTAAGCTCGTGCCTGCGCTCAGTCGGCACTTGCACTAATACCACAACAATTGAGAGCACGGTGAGAGGATTTGCATCGATGCATAGTAAAGGTAACGGGATCAAAAATGTTGTGATCAGAGGCACGCAGAGGACATTTGAGTTACCCCTTCCCACGCTCATAACAACCACAGCTCTGGTGCAGCCACAGCTTGCTGTGCATACATACATATACATACAAACATGTTAAACGGAATTAAATGTCAAAGATGTATCAACAGCAGTCTTGGAAATTATTAGACACACTAAAAAATGCGTACCTAAAGTATTGTCTAATTTCTCATACATGGAGGTGGGAAATTTCGACCTACATATGTATGTCCGTATAGGACATTTGAGGGTACCATTTTTACATGAATTTTGACTAAGAATAATGTTGCCAGATTTAGATACCAGTTGATACCGACCAAGTAAATATATAGTATGCCTAATGGGAGCAGAGACTCCTGCGTTACACATTACGTGAGAAAATAATTATACCCTCAGCAAGGTTATAAAATGGAATATAAATGCCAAAATGTAATTACGGTAAATAAACATATACAAATATGCATAGTAATACAAGCGCACGCTTATCCATTCAATACAAGCTTCAAATTACTCTCACGCGCTCTCTCCTCTCTTTCGCTGCATGCGGATTATGTTGAATTGCGCGCCAATTTGTGTTCAGTGAAAAAGTGCGGCATCAGGAATTAAACACTTATTTTATGGGTAAATGCAATGGCGGCGGGTAACAAATTAATCTTTGACAGTTTACACACACTCACGCAGCACGATCTAATCACGTTTAACTAAATTTCGTTTATTTAACTATGTTAGAACACGACTTTAAACACACCATACGTAGACAACGCGACCGACAAACAGACGAAGCGCGCACAGACTAATTTCCTTTATTAAGCTTCTGCCTGCGCTCAGCCGGCATTCGCACTAATACAACAACAATTGAGAGCACACACACCCACAAAATTCGCATAGATTCATAGTTAAGGTAACGGGATCAACTGTGTTGCGATCAGTGGCGTGCGCGCAGTGGACATTTCAATTACCCCTCTCCGCCATTATATTAACCACAGCTCTGGTGCAGCCGCAGCCTGCTGTGAATATATACATATACATACAAACATACATATTTAAAACGGAATTTAAAGACAAAGTTGTGTCAACAGCGAAGAGAGAAAAAATGGCGTACCTAAGTTATTGACCATTGAGTAATAAATCTATTTATTACAGATAAATAAATATAAATCTATTATTACCCAATGGGTACTGACTATTTTTACATACATATATGCTAGATATATATGTATATATTTAATAGAGCTCCAATGTCAATAAGATTTTGCATGTATTTTATTTTGGATATAAAAGGGAAATTTTTATAATAAAAAACCCATTATTATCCGATAGTTTCTATGAAAACAAACGATGCCGATATATGTATGTACCTGCTGCCTATCGCAAGGTTAAGAATATGTATTACTAACATATATAAAAGATATTTATATAATTTAAATTTTTATTTATTTATATTATTTAATAGATTATAAATTTAAGCGAAAAATTCCCAACTTGACTTTTGGCTGGCTGCGTCTCTTGTGTGGTCCAGGCGGCGCCTCCGTCGCGCCGCGGCTGGCGTTGCCACTCAGGGGCGACAGAGCGTTGTCATTGGCCAATGTGTCGCAATAGTGGCCAACCGCCGTGTCCCGTGGCGCAAATCAAAACAAATAAACAACAACAAACAACTTGCCGAGGCCCGGAACAGCTGTCTAGACAAGTCCTGGCGGCAACCGGCAGACAGTTGACCAGTTGACCACCAATTAGGGCTACCTTCCCGCACTTGACAAGCTGGTCAAAATATTGAAGCAATTGGTGTCTGGCACAAGGCCACTTGAGCCGAGGCCAAGGCTCGACGGGGCCAAAGGTTCACACATATTTCAGGACCTGCTGCCGACACGCTCAAGTGCGGCCGTGTCCTGTCTGGGCGACAAGTAGCCGGCGCAGGCGTGACTTGTAAACAAAGCCACACGCATGATTAGATGATCAGTTAGCGGGGCGCGCGCGACCATGCCACCATTGTCGACGGTTTCCAATTGCTTGCCACCAGAGATCGGGTTCAAGCGACTGGAGTGGGAAGTCTAGACGCCTTGGGCTAACTAGGACAACCTTGGACTCTGTTGCTGAAGCACTTCACCAGGAAACTAGCGTATTTCGGCTCAATCCATGATCCAGATCCCCAACTGTGCTTCCCGTGGAGGAGAGAGACGTTGGAGTCTTAAGGGCGAACGAGGTGGATGACAGACCTCCATGGGAAATGCTATGGTGACTAGAGATAGGATCAGGACGGGAATTCAGTGGGAACCTAGCAAACGACATTACGGAAAAGGAGTTTAAAATATGTGGAAAAGTATTTTAAAGTATGTAAAATGGGCTAGATTTTTGGTTGATCTCGAACTTCTGGCGGATCCCGAAATTATGGCCGGGTTCCGGACTATTTTTTTGATACAAACAACATTTGAGTTGAGTGAAAATTTGGATGATTTGAATATGTAAAGGATTTATAGCATTTTTTCTTATTGATAACAATTTGACAATTTATAAATGTGTGTATTTATTATTTATCAAGAAGGCATAACGGTATCGGATTGGCTGGGATGAATTTAAAAATCTTCGGATTTGTTCTATTTAATATCTGTTCTGGTAAAAGCAGGACGAAATTATATAATCTTATCTTATCTAATCTTATGCTCACTCTCGATTATCTGGCGAGCTCTCCAAGGAGTAAAGGCATCTTTGGCCTGCTGCTCACTTTGTCAAGGAAGGGAGAAGAATCGCATAGAATCTCAAGGAGGCTGTCTCTCCCTACTGTCTCCCTACTTCGTATCCCCTAAAAGACTCAGACAGAAGTTCAGGTGGAGGAAGCTGCAACAATTCCCAATGCCCCAATAATGATCCGGATCGACTTCGTATCCCGTAGAAGACGGAGAAGATTGGTCCAGCTGGAAGAGGCTGCAATTATGATCCGGAGCAACTATCCGTTCGTAGAACTTGACCGGAATGCGGGCAAGATTTGAACACGGCGAACACTCTGATTGCGACTGAAGGTCAGCAGAGACCTAGGAGGAGGGAGTGGGAGGGAAGCGGGAGGGAGGGAAGCGGGGGCCAGTTCTCTGTTCTTGTTACGTTTAAAGCTCTTAAGTGCCTGGCAATTCACTTTGGCCAATGTGCGCTTTTCAATTCATTTGATTTCGAATTCGTTGCGTTAGTTGAGTTTTTCAATTTTTCCAATTTTTCCATTTTCCATTTGCGCGCTTACCAAATAGTTTCAATTATTATGGGTATTACGGTATTATGGCATAGACAAGTGCGCGTATTATTAATGTAATAGCGGCTAATTGCGCATTTGTTGGCCCAGTCCGAATGCAGGCACTTCAGTCCCGGGCGACTTAAAAGCCTCAATTTGATTGGAACACTTGGCCGCAGTCGCAGACCCGAATTAATGGCTGCATTTTGCGGCAATCTCAAGTTTTGAGTTGCAGATCAATTGCAATTGATTGCGATTTAGAAATGTGCACTGTTAGCCACTTGAGCTGCAGCCTCCGCCAGCTCAAGGTTCTTCTATCGAATCAAATGATTTACCGCATTTATTTTGGCCAATTCGTGCCAATAAACAAAGTATCATTTGTGCGGCATGTGGCAACAAATAAATGCCAGCTAAAGACCAATTTCCCCACATATGCAGCCAACTAGGCGCAGAAACAACAACAACAACAACAGCAGCAACAACAGCATAAATATGATAGTGTAAACAACAATAAGCCCAATGGCAGCCGATCATCATCATCATCATTGGTCCAATGATCATCGGGCAATTTCTATGCATCGGAACCCGGACGTCAGAGTCCCATTCCCAAAATTCCTACACGAAAATAAAATTTAATTGCCTACAAATTGGCGCGTTGAGTTTTATTGCATTCGCAAAAATATGTACCTCATATACATGCCAATGCACTGAGCAAAAAAACAGCATCGAATTTGTATAAATTTAATCTACAAAATTTAAATACAATTTGTTACCGAATATTCTTAAATAAACCAATTTAATAAGAATTAAAGTAAGCAGAAAATGTATGTCAAATTAAGTACACTTAAAAAAATTATTTAAAAAATATTTTTTAGTTTCGAAATATATAGTTTTCGAAAATATTTCTACAATTTCATATATTTATTAATATATTTAATTTTATGGCTAGTTTCTAAAAGATATTAAAATTTTTTTTGTACTTCATTTTGATGTATTTAATCATTTCGAGCTTAAAACGAGTTCTTGAAATAAAAATAACTTTTTCAATATAAAAATGATTAAGAAAAACATACTTATTAAAAGAATTTACATACTTAAAGTAAGCAGAGAATGTACTTTACTAAGATTAAGTACACTTAAAAAATAATTTTTCTCAAATATTAAAAAAATTTTCTTAACTTCGAAAATCGATATTATTAGAAAATATTTCAAAAATATTAAAATAATTTCAATTTTATCTTAATTTCAACATTACTGGAAAATATTAATAAAATTTAAAAAAAATTATATTTAATTTTATGGCAATTTTCCAAAGCGTAACAAACAATTTGGTTTGACTGCATTTTTAAGTGTTCAACAATTTTAAGATTAAAAAGAGTTCTTAAAATAAGAAAAATTAAAATTTTTCTCAATAAAAAAGTGTTCACACCTAACAAAATGCTCGACTATTTCTCTGAGTGTATCAGCCGCGAGCTAAGCGCTTTATCGGGCAAGTGCGATTACATGGAACATTTCCAGTTGAGGGCAATCCCGCTTCCAGCCCCCTGTCCCTTCCCCCTCCCCCTGCCTCCTGCCCCCTGTCCCTGTGTGTGTGGGTGGCAATTTTTTTACAGCAACCGGCAAACAAATATTTGATTTAGACAAAAATGCCTATGATTTATTTACGATTTCCTAACGTTTCGCCTAATTTGTCTGGGAAGTTCATAAAAAACAAATGCAAAGACAAGCTGAATCTAAGCTAATACACAGAGTGTGCACGACTGGGAAATACCCTGTAGACAGCTGTAGCAGGCATTCGCATGCTTCGACTCAAAAAAATGCATTCTCAAATAATTTCCATGTTTTTTTGCTGATTGTTGTGAAAATTTCAGGACTTAAAGCTGGCATTCAAATGTTTTTATTTATTAAAAATCAAGAAAATGCGACGAGATTTTAAGGTTTTCAATTTAAAGGAAGTAGACAGGTAGCCAAAAATTAAAAATATTCCTACATTAATAAAGACTCTAGACGCATCTCTTAAATACTCGTTGGAATTTGAATAGACCTTCAGTTTCTTATCAAGTTAAGAGAATGCGCGAAGTGCTAATCTCTGAACACGTTTCGTTTATCAGCTTATCAGCTCAGCTGGCAATTATGTTAGGAGCATAGATTAAGCGGGTAATACGCACAGGTCTATTGCATTTCAGTTCTAGCAGAGCCACAGCTCGAGGCACAAGTCGAACGACTTCCAGCAGACGTCAGATTGCGAAATGGTATGTATTTCGGAACACGCTTTGATCGCGTGCATTTCGTTCTTATCGATTAACTCTTTGTGAGCACACAGTTCACTGATTATATATGGGTCAAGTACTGAAAGTAAGTAAGACAAATTCAGTTGCCAACAAGAGGCAGAAGAAGCCTTGTCACGCCCATAAATAATATATATACTTGCTCGTAAAGACAAATCATTCTAGTCATGCCCACCTGTCGAACCTGACGTCTATCCGTCTGAAAAAACTTATTGAACTCAGGAATTATTTGGCATATAAATAAGGTTTACTTTGAGTTGTCGAGAGCTGTGGGAGTTGGTCTGGCTTCAGTTATCGATAACAAATTTTTTTGAAATTTATAAATATCGATCCAGCCTTGTTTATCTGCCTAACCTGTCGTCATTCCTTCTGTAGTTCTTACAGATCTCAGAGACTTTAAGAGCTAGACAAAATTTGAATAAATCAATAAAGTTTACTTTAAGTTATCGATAACTTTAAGAGCTATACAAGATTTGATAGAGCTTACTTTAAGCTATAGAGAATATTAAGAGCTAAACAAAATTTGATATATGAAAAAAGTTTAATTTAAGTTATCGAGAACTTTGAGAGTATGTCTGACTTGAGTTATCGATAACTATACAAATTATGCTGAAATTAATCAATATTGTTCTAGCCATGTTTATCTGTCTAACGTGGCGTCTATTCGTCTGAAGCCCTTATATATATCAGAGACTATAAGAGCTGGAAAAAAGTTGTATAAATGAATAAAGTTTACTTGAAGTTATCGATAACAAGATTTGATATATGAAGATTTGATATACACAAGATTTGATATATGAATAAAGTTTACTTCGAGTTATCGATTTATCATTCTAGCCCCGACTTATCGTTCTAGCCATGGCTTGAGTTATCGATAACACTACAAATTTTTTTTAAATTAATAAATATTGTTCCAGCCATGTTTATCTGTCCAGCCTCCGTCTATAGTTCTAACATATCTTAAAGACTGTAAAAACATTGGGAACATTTGAGATATGAATAAAGTTTACTTTGAGTTATCGAAAACTTAATGAGATAAACAAAATTTTGAGAGATGAGTAAAATAAATATTTGCTTGGCCGACTCGAGGTCCGAACAAATATTTATTATATGGAAAGGTCGCCAAAACCAGCATGAAGTGAATAAAGTTTACTTTCAGCTAAAATTCAATGAAATCTATACAAATTTTTCTTAAATCAATAAATATCGATTTATTTATTCGTTTTTTCTTTAGCATTTAATCGTACGAACCAACTTCAATTTTTATAACTTCTTTAATTTTATTTTATTTAATTTTTTTATAATTTTTATTTTCGTTTACTTTCTTTTAATTCTAGAAATTAAAATGGGCTCTACATTTTTTGCTGCTGAGTCTATTGGCCCTTCAGGAAATACAATTTACGGCTGGATCACGAATTCTGGCCGCGTTTTTCCTTCCCGGCAAAAGTCATTTTATGATGACAAACTCGATCATCCGGGAACTGGTCAAGCGTGGACATGAGGTTGGAATTGAAAACGAAATCGATTTAAATAACCGCTTGACACAGAAATTTGACTTTTAGGTGACTTTTATCACGCCCTTCTCGCTGGCCGAAGAGAACCTTGGTGCTAATTATAAGGAAATTCTGCTGGCACAATACGATATCTGGACAGAGAGTGAGTCGCTAAAAGAGACAAAATATATATAATATTATAATAAAATATAGATAGATTAATATGTATTGTATTATAATAAAATATATATAAATTAATATATATATTATTATATGAAATATATATAGATTAATATATATAATATTATATAAAATATGAATAGATTAATATATATAATATTAAAATAAAATATAGATAGATTAATATATATAATATTATAATAAAATATAAATAGATTAATATATATATTATTATATGAAATATATAAAGATTAATATATATATTCACTTAATAAAATTAAAACTAAAAAAATCTATATATTATTATATAAAATATAGATAGATTAATATATATAATATTATAATAAAATATAGGTAAATTAATATATATAATATTATAATAAAAAATATTTAGATTAATATATATATTATTGTAATAAAATATATAAAGATTAATATATAATATTATTATATAAAATATATATAGATTAACATATATAATATTATATAAAATATATAAAAATTAATATATATAAAATTATAATTAAATATATATAGATTAATATATATAATATTATAATTAAATATATATAGATTAATATATATTTTATTATATAAAATATAAATAGATGAATATATATAATATTATATTAAAATATAGATAGATTAATATATATAATATTATTAATCAAATATATATAGATTAATATATATCATATTATAATAAAATTTAGATAGATTAATATATATAATATTTTAATAAAATATATATCTAGATAAATATACATATTAATATATATTTTATAATATTTATTGATTCGCAGTGAAGCAAATGTCGAACAAGGAGATCATTTTGGATACGGCGGATCTGTCTAGCCTGAAGCTGCTGCGAATGCTGCACGTGATGGGCGTGCATAGCACGGACTTTGCTTTCTCGCAGCCCGAGATTCAGGCTCTGATCAATGCCGAGCATAAGGTGGGCCAGTACGATTTGCTTTTGGCCGAGCAGTTCTACAATGAGGGCGCATTAATACTGGGTCATCTGTATCGGATACCCGTCATCACGGTCTCCACGTTCGGCAACACGAACTACTTCAGCGAATTGGTGGGCATCATTACGCCCTGGTCATATAATCCGCATGGCTTTATGACCTTCACCAATCGCATGACCCTGTCGGAGCGTCTGTTCAATGTGTTTATCTGCGGCACGGAGCACCTGATGCGCCAATTCCTTTACTATCCCGCACACGATGCGGTGCTGCGCAAGCACTTTGCCCATGTGCTCGATGTTGTGCCCACAACGAAGCAGCTGGAGCGCAACATCTCCGCCATCCTGATGAACAACTATATGCCGCTGGACGCACCCAAACCCATTTCCTTCAATCAGATAGCCGTCGGCGGACTACACATTCTGCCGCCCAAGCCTCTGCCGCAACATCTGCAAAAGTTCCTCGACGAGGCAACACATGGCGCCATCTACTTCAGCCTTGGTAAATATTCAATATTCTTATTCATTTATTTATATACTCTAATCATAGAGTTACAACTAAGTGATAAGTGAATATCAACAAGGGCTAACAGGGCCTTGAGCTGGTATATAGAAATATTGAATATATTTCACAATATTTTGAATCGTAAGGTATTCCATATGTTGGCCTGATCAGTATCCAAGTCTACATAAACCAAGTCCATTCGTTTATCCATTTCTGTGTAATATTGTTTTAAGTGCAACTTAAAGTCAGCTGGATCGGATCTCTATATAATATGGAAACTTGTTTCTTTAAGATCTTTCAACTCAACTTGGTTAATATCCAAGTCTACATAAACCCTAATCCATCCGTTTGTTTACTTCTGTGTAAGAAAGGTTGGAAGGCAACTTGAAGTTAGTCGGATCGTATCTCTATATAATGTTGAAACTTTAGAAACTTTTGTTTCTTCAAGATCTTCCAACTAAACTTGATCAGGTCTATATAAACCCAAGTCCATCCCTTTGACTATTCCTGTGTAACATAGTTCTGAAGACAACTAGCTGAATCGAAACCCTATATAATATACAAACTATAGGAATAGTCAGATCGGATCTCTATATAATATAGAAACTTGCTTCTTCAAGATCTTTCAGTTACCAAATCTACATAAACCCAAGTCCATCCCTTTGACTATTCCTGTGTAACATAGTTTTGAAGATAACTAGAAAATACCTACATCAAAGTTAGCTGGATCGAATCTCTATACAATATTAAAGCTATAGAAACAGCTAGATCGCATCTCTCTATAATATAGAAAAGAAACTATAGAAACTTCAAGATCTTCCAAACTCAGTAAACTCAACTATTTCGAGCCTTACTAAGCTCCTAGTATATATTCAATAGAATGTCAATATCTAATAGATATATGAGCACTATATCATGTATCTTCCAATGGAATAATACATAGGTCAAAACCTGATCATTATCATTTCATTTCAAGATATTCCAATTCGTTTTTTACAGTCTTTAAAAGTTGCCATACAAATGAGCAAAGTCTTCTCCACACTCCTTTAGGATTCCTCATAAAATAAGTATATTAGTAAATCGGAAGATAGATAACATATTTCAACCGATATATAACATATGATAATTATCCGAAAATCATTTGTGCCTTCAAGATATTCCAATTCTGTGCTTACAATCCTTAAGGGAAGCCTAACAAATGAGAAGAATCTTTTCCATTCTCCTCTAGGATCTCGCATAATATGAGTTGATATAAATGTATATATGATATATAGGATCATACATAATATATTTTGTCCGCCAGGGTATTTAATATTCGACAATCTAGAGATAACACTTTTCTTTTCATTTATTAATCATCTGAACATTTTCCTGGACAGGTACACAGGTGCGCAGCGCCGATCTGCCGCCCGAGAAGTTGAAGATCTTCTTGGACGCCTTCGGCAGTCTGAAGCAGCGTGTGCTGTGGAAATTCGAGGACGACAGTTTTTCCAATCTGCCCGCAAATGTGATGATACAGAAGTGGATGCCGCAGGGCGACATACTGGCACATCCCAACGTGAAGGTGTTCATTGCCCACGGCGGACTCTTCGGCATGCAGGAGGCGCTGCATTATGGCGTTCCCGTCCTGGGCATGCCCGTCTACTGCGATCAGCACTTCAACATCCATCAGGGCAAGGCCGATGGCTATGCTCTTGGTTTGGACTATCGCACAATTACCACGGAACAGCTGCGCTCCTCGCTGCTGGAACTGCTTGAGAATCCCAAATATCGGGAGACCATGAAACGAGCATCGCGCATCTTCCGGAATCGGCCGCTTGGCGCCATGGACACGGCCATGTTCTGGATCGACTACGTCATCGAGCATCGCGGTGCTCCGCACATGGTGTCCGCAGGCCTGGATCTCACCTGGTATCAGTTCTACCTGCTCGATGTAATTGCCATTGTTGTGGCCACAGTTGTGGCCATAATTGTGCTGCCCATTTGGATTTTATGCCGCATCTTACGCAAATCTCAAAAGAAGCCCAAGAGAAAGGCGAAAAAGAATTAATGGTAAAAGAATAAATGGAAGATGGAATATAGATTGTCAATTTCGGATTAGTTTACCTGCAAAATCCCCCATTTTTTATATTTCCCATTTTAAATCATCTTAAATGACACATAACATATAAAAATCTATAGAATTACTTAAACATCAATTTTATGTGTTCAGCAAAACAAGAATTTTAGATTTTGAAATCGTTCGGAATTTAACTTTCACCTAGACAGGCTTAGTCATGCATTTTCCACCCAACTGCGTGGATTTGTCGAGAAGCGTGAAGAGACATTGTTAATGAAAAGATGCATAGATCAAAAATGCAGTTACCTAGCTCTTCTGGTTGTGCATTGGCCATCAATCAGTGAGTCAATCAGTCAATCAGTCAGTCAGTCAGTCTGTCAATCAGGACAAACATTTTCATATAGATAGAGTATTTTGGGCCTTTGTTCTGTGAGTTAAAAATATATTTTATGTTATCGGTGAAACAGATCATTTTGAGTTTGAAATCGTTCAGAATTAAACTTTCACCTAGACAAGACTAGACATACATTTTCCACTCATGGAGGTGGATTTGTCGAGAAGCGTGAAAAGAAAAAATCATTTATGAATTGTCGCTTAAATCAAAAATGCAGTTAACTAGCTTTATGGTTGCGCATTGGCCATCAATCAGTGAGTCAAGTCAGTCGGTCAATCAGTCGGTCAATCAGGACAAAAATTGTATATAGATATATTGAAAACACTTCACTAGCATAAGCCTAAGTATTGTTACCTTTGTTCTGTGTGTTAAAGATAAATTTTATGGTCTCTGTGCAATCGAAAATTTTGACTTACAAATCGATTGGAATTCAACTTTTACCTAGACAAGACTAGACATGCATTTTCCACTCATGGAGGTGAATTTGTCGAGAAGCGTGAAAAGAAAAAATCATTTATGAATTGTCACATAGATCAAAAATGCAGCTACTTAGCCCTTAGGATTGTGCATTGGCCATCAATCAGTGAGTCAATCAGTCAGTCAGTCGGTCAATCCGGACAAACAGTTATATATAGATACATATGTTAAATACATTTCATTACCATATGCTTAAGTATTGTTGGCCTTTGTTCTATACGTGTATTTTTTTTTTTGGTTTTTTGCAATAATAAAGCGCAACACTTAAGCTTTGGCACTTGAGGCGACTACTTAAGTATTTAATGAATCAGAAATATATATGGCATGCATATAGAGAAATTCAACTTAAGGCGCCAGAGTGCCAGGCCAAGTGCTCTCAAGAAATTAAGCAAAAAGCGCAAAGCTCTTTGCCCGAAAAGTATGTATATATGTTAGATCTCCAAAACTCATTAAAGATCAGATTCATCATCATCTCAAATGGATTTCAACATCTTCGGAATTTGATTGCCTCATAGAATTTTTGCCTGAGTGAGGGCCTACCAAATCATCAACTATAAAGATAAAGATATATATATATATATGTAAATATATTTATATATTATTTCCTTAACATTTATAATAATAAGTTAAACAAAGTTTGCCAAAAGACAGTTGTTTCCTGCCTACCCCCTGCCCCCCATCCCTCGCCTTGACAAGTGCACTTGAGGCGAGTGCGCTCCACATACCCCCCTCTCCCACTCTGCCCCTCTCGCGTGGAGCAGCTCATTATGCATGCACGAACTGACACTGAAGTGGCTGCGACGCCAGCCTTCACAGTTTCCAAATTTCCCTTGCCCCACTCCCTCCCCCTTGCCCAATGCCCTGGCGCAAGAGAGCGAGAGAAAGAGTTCATGTGCCGTTAGGGTTAGATTGCCCATTGGCTTTATTATTGGTATTAGTAACACATGATTACGCTTTATTGTAAACAAAAGCCCAGATAAACAGACAAACTGCAAACACGGATGCGAACACACACACAGACACATTAGCCTAGGCTAATGATATGTTAATGCAGCTGGCGCTCAGTGCGTATGCGTGCTGTGAATAGAGCTGTGTGTGTGCGTGTCTGTGTGTTGGTGTGTGTGTGTCTGTCAACGGCTTGAGCAAATAAACTTCATTTGGGACTTATTTGTCGCTGTTGAATGGAATTTCTGCTGGCGCTATAAACAACAGATTTGGTTGGGGGAAATGTTAAGGGAATTGTTGGGGGAAATTGTTGCTCCTGACATTAAAGTGTGAGGCGAAGTTCATTGAGTTGTTGTCGGGGATTTTTCAAAGTGCATTTGCGAGCTGAGTGACTGGCAATTAGGTACTCCGGATCTTGACTGTGATATAGGAGCAGGGACTAACTAAAAGTCAATTACTAAACACGACATTGATTGGGATGATAATTAGCCACAATCTCGATGCTTGCCTTTACTTCGGATCTTGCCTGTGTTCTGGCAACAGGGACTAACTTAAGCTCAAAGGCAATTTAGATCAAGCAGTAAGTAGTCATATTTACATTAAGTAACTAAACAGGTCAGAATTAAATGGGGATGATTTTAAGCCACAATATCGCCTTAGCTCTTCAAGACTTTCAAGAAATTTTTTTCCCCAATTTTAGAAACAATTTCTATCTTTCAAGGCATTCTTTAATCCTTAATCTTTCGTTCATATTTCAGATGTAATATTTCCTTAACTTTATCCATCTGACAAAGTGTTGGCCTGTACTATATATATCCCACTTGTCATATTACGGTTAAAATTGCTGGCCGAGTCTTGGCCAAATAAATAAAACCTTTAAAAAAATAAAAATAAATGTAGAAAATGTAGAAACATGTTTCAGATAATAAAATTTATTTTCAAAAAATGCTTTTTATTTTCATACATAGAGTGCAATTATATAGAGAATTTTTCACTTACAACTGACAAATAAATCATAATAATTATTAATTAATTAATTATTTTTGGGCTCCGCTTTGCAACACTGGCTTTACATGTTTGCCAAGGCTAGAAAGGGAAATGTTACCCTTCAGGGCAGAGCGATTATCCTCTTTGTCATGTAAATGTTTTAAGGCCAACTTAGCTGAGTTCTTGAAGGAAGTCAACAAGTTAACTTTCTTGGTTTGAGCGTGAAATTCTTTTGGCCTTTGGTGAATGGAATTCAATCAAAGGCAGCCAACAAATGCTGACCAGTCCTGGCCCATAATAGCCGACCCCCTCTCTCCCCCTCTCCCCCCCCTCTCTCTCTTTCTCTCTCTCTTGGCGACACGCCGCAGCGTTTAAGTGTAATTTTCTTCTTATTCAATTGAAGCATGTCCTTTGCAGTCCGCCGGGCTGGTTCAGCAAAGGATAATAACTCACGGCAACGCACTGCGTCGACTTGGCCGTCGACTTTTTGGGCTCGTTAGAAATTCACTTCAGACCCTGGCTTTCACTTGAGATCCACATAATGGCCGTTCATTTGCGCCGTCGCCAACGCTCCGCGCTTGGAAATTTGTAAGAAAATCGACTCCAGGACAATTGCGTACGTGCGCTCCGAAGGAGATGATGAGGGCAAAAAAAAAAATAAAATGTGGGAATGTCTCAACTTGTGCTGTGTGCCATGTAATTTGCTCTCTTGCCATGTGCTTCATCAGAAAGGAAATTGAAAATTGCTGCTAATGGCTGACGCAAGGGGGAAGGGGGCGGCAGGTGGGTGTGGCCATTGGCAGGCAAAAAAAAGAACCTGTTTAATGATTATGAAAAAAATAAATATAAAGAAATGACACTATGAAAATGTGGGCGGAATTCATTTGAATCGCAATTTGCGCTTACTTACTTAGCCCCAAGGAACTAACGAAGCGTTAAGAAGATGCCAACCAGGCCGAGAGCAAGAAGAAGAAGAAGCAGCAGCTCCTGACAATGGACAGAAGCTGCTCCGAACTGAGTTGATTTATGCACAGCGTCAAAATTTGAGCTAATTCTTGTGCCAAGATTCCAATTAGCTTTCGTGTTCACATAACTGTGTAAATGTTCCCAGAAATAAATTGGAATTATGAGTACCAGAATTGTTCAGCTTGTTATAATAACTTGGCTGTAAGCCCTAATATGCCACGCCTCTAAATTGGTGAACTTGGCTTTGCACATTATGAAAGAAGGTTGAAACAAATTTAATCCAAAATTTATAATTTATTTGCTTTTGGGTTTCATTTTGAAGGGTAACTAATTTGGTGAATCTAAAGATTCGTTTATTCCTTTAGTTTTTACACATTCTTAAGCTTCACTGTACCCATATATAATTTATAATTTCTTTTCTTTTGCCTAAAGATTTAATTTAATTCTAATTCTTGTTTCTAGAGTTTATAGATTCGTTTGTTCTTTCAGCTTTTACATGTGCCAAGGCTTCACTGTACCCATATATAATTTATAATTTATTATATATAATAAATAATAATAATAATATATCACTTATTTTCTTTTGAGTTAAGATTTAACTGATTCGGTTCTAGGCTGAGTTTCTAGTTTCTAGAACTTTAAGATAACTGTACTTTTTCAGTTTTTAGACATTCTTAAGCTTCACTGTACCCATATATAATTTATAATTTATCTTCTTTTGGCTTAAGATTAAATTTAATTCTAATTCTAGTTTATAGAATCTAAAGATTCGTTTGTTCTTGCAGCTTTTACACATTCTTAAGCTTCACTGTACCCATATAAAATTTATAGTTTATTTTCTTTTGGGTTTAAATTTTGAAGAGTAACTGATTGGGTTCCAGGCTGAGTTGCTAGTTTCTAGAATTTAAAGATTTGTTTGTGCTCTCAGCTTTTTGCACATAGCAAGGCTTCACTGTACCCGTTTACCCATATAATGTTGTTTACACTGAGCAATGAACACTTCAACAGACTTTAAGCGCTTTTTGCTTTTTTTTATGCTTTTCCAAATAAATGTATAAAAACAAAACAACAGACTGCAAAGTGCCCCAAAGGTGTCTGCAGCGAAAACTAGAGAGAGATTCCTAAAGAACAATAACAAATCTTGAAAAACTGATGCAAGTGTTTAGAATAAAATGTTGAATATGTTTTTTTTATATACATATGTATATAGTTTTCCAGCGCCAAATGTGTTCCAAGCAAGAAAGATCAATTGATAGCGAGTTCTGCGTCAAGTGCTTTGG